GCTGCTGCTGATTATTTTCTGTAATTTTCCTGTCATGCCTGGAAGCAGCAGTAAGCTGCAGCTGCATAACAAACACTTGTGTCTTCTCCTTTTCTGTCTTTTCCTAATCCTCACCGGGAACAACTGGCTTTATCTGAGCCCACAGGCAGCCGTCCAGAACTCAGAGCGACTTGTTAGGACAGATTAGCGTTTGGCGGAGCCGCCCGGCCCGCTGAAGGTGATGCAGACCGTCACAATAAAAGCCTTTCCTGTGGCTTCGGGAGGCAGAGACAGACAGTTGATGCTGAGCAGAGTCACATTAAGCTGTAGTTTGCGCTGAACTCTGCTTGATGTGTGTCCTAACGGGGCTCGACAGGAAGCCCTCCAGCTTCACATTCGAGGCAGCAGAAATGAGAAATACCTCCCAAGAATGGAAAAGCTAACAGGGGCTCGCTCCCTCTGGGGGTTCGGCTGTTATACAATTCCTTTTTCCATTCAGCGCTGGTATTTTCTGCTGAGCTGAGCTGGAACGAAGCAGCTTATGGCAGAGCCAGACCCTCCAAGTATGCCCTGGTTTGGCAGCCGGGCCGACCCAAAATGCTCTGCGTTCTGGGTTTCGGAGCATCTTCTCTCTGGGGGAATCATATTTTCCGAGCCGTCAGAGTTCTGGTGAAGCCGTGGTCTGTTCGCGGAGCTCTTTCATGTTCGTCTCTGAAGCACGTTCAGACGCTTTAATCACATTCAGCGTTTGTTTTCCTCACCAGCAGAGATAAACTAAGGAGTTAATATCAGACGAGTCTCGTGATGAAATTCCGTTTGTGTGCTGAAAGAACGCCGGCTGCTCCCTGCAGGCCCGAGGAGAGTCTTGTTCCTGATGCCGTCGTCCTGTTCATGCATGCCTCCCCGATGAACACTAAGATTTATTACCTATGAACCGCTGCAGACGTGAGGCAGACCAGATAATGTTCCTCATTAACATGTGTCAGCAGACGACGGCCTGCAGGTTCAACTCCTGAAGTCCTCTGAAGGCTCCGACTGTGAATGGGCCCTTTGTTGTTGTCGGGTTTTGTTTTTTAAGGCAGTTTTCATGGTACCAGGTTGGTTTGTTTATTTAGATCATGAAGGTCGTTTTTGTGTCATCTGGTGAAGAAGATTTAATCTGAATGAAGTTTTTCAGGTTGAAGATAAAGAGTCAAACAGCAGCATTTAAGATAAAGACTTTGTATTCAATTTGTTTGAGGTTTTTTTGGCTCCTGTCTCAGTTTTACTCACTGTGGCTCATTTTTCACTGCAAAGTCTATATTATAAAGTCTGTATTCCTCGATGGAAGCAGAACAACCACGACTGGAAGAAAGTAGAACTGAGAAATGTCTTTTGTGCTGAATGACAGGAATCAGAAAAAAGACAATAAAACTTGCTTGCTTATTTTATATACAGTCATGACTCGATAATCTGACCCTTAACAATCCTAAACCTGCTATCCGACAGATTTTTAGGAAAAACGAAAGGAACCCATTAAAAATAGCCTTAACATACCAACAGCCTTGGATTCTGACTCCGACATGGCATTTTATGTCACCAATCAGGATAACGGCGTATTATCTGACTGAACAATCCCACAGATTGGCTACGTTCACACTGCAGGACTTGATGCTCAATACGGATTTTTTAATGAAATCCACATTTCCAGTTAAATGCAACTTGTATGTGATCTGCTGTGTGAACTTCATACGACCCAAAAGTGTCCCGCATGCGCAGAAGAGGACACGACGACGTCACACGCAGCGAGCGTGCTCTGTGTTTATGGAAGTAAACATGGATGGTAACGGTGGAGCGTATATTTTTAGAAAAACGTATTACTTGGTACAAGTACTGCCTGTGTGTTCCGTACACTTCCACCCCATCAGAGTGCTCCCCTGGGGTGGAAGTGTCCGGGCCGAATATTTGGATATTCATCATTAATTGGGCCTGAATATCCAGAGACCAGAAAGTGCTATTGGGACCAGCTCTAGTTTGTTGTGTAGCAATGACATGGAGCTATAAATGTGACCTGGCCGTTCAGACAGGAGTCGCAGAAGATCAGATACGTTTCAGATTTAGGACCACTTACCTTTGATGTCAACCGACGGCCCGTGCGCAATCACACCGGTCAGTTAGGAGTGAAATCCAGCGATGCGTAGTGTTCTAACAATACACTAGTTATTATAACAACTATAAACAATAAATATTAAAAACTCATGAGCTTTCCAGCATCAAGCCCTCCTTGTATCTGGACCTCCGTCTTGACAATCCGACAGCCTTGCTGTCTGACATGGGAGAAGGTTTTACATTTAGTGTCGGATTATCGAGTCACGACTGTATTTTGAAAAAACCTCAACATGTCCAACATTTTTCCAAATCGAGGCTCTACATGCTACAGATATTAGACTATTTGCATGTTTCATTAGTTTCTCGTCTCCTCTCTGCTCTGCTTAAACACTTCCTGCAGTTCAGCTGAAAGGTCCCTGAATGTTTGCCGTGTGACTGTTGATCACAGCAGAGTCACTGATTAGTTCATGTCTACACCGAGGGGCGCAGAGTATTTAGTTTTTTACTGAATCGAGCTGAAGCAAATGGTTTAGGTTTAGCAAATGTTTTAAATGGGTCTTGCAGAATTTTTTTTTTTTAATCACTATTTTAAGCTGAAACGAGGACTGTTGGAAATTTAACAATCCAATGATTTCTTGTGTTTTTAAGGTTTCTGTCGTCATTTTGGGGATTTTTTACATTTGTTTTATAAGCTAACAAGCCTTCCAAACCTGTACTGTAAAAGAAGTCTTTAACCATATTTCTTCCCACCATTTATTCCTATTTTACAGATTTTTCTCTCTTTTAAGTTACAGATAACTGATAAAATGACAGTAAAAACTACTGATTTTCTGCTTCACGTCATCAGCTCTACTTTACTAGATATCGTACTACATTACAGTAGCTACATTGCTGACAACGTCACAGTTGAAACCCTTCATTTTTTACAGTGCACTCGTCAACAGCGAGACACTTGATGT